CGAAACTGCACGTTTATGGCATGTCGATACGCGCATCAGTTGTTTCGAAAAACCAGATCATAGCAGCTTAAAGAGCAGGCGTCGTCATAGATATTGAGAAAAATCACTCTTTCAGTTGGTGTGAAAACTATGATAAAAACTGATTTCAGTGAAAACTCTGTTGGTCAAGCCACTTAAAAGCAAAGAGCCAAGTTGAAAATGACATGCGTAAGTTGAGATACTTGATCGCTAAAACAGTATTAATCAACTGCTAAAGACAGTATAAATATTTCTAAAAGAGCTAGTTTACTATGATAGAGAAATAGCGTCGAGTAAAATAAATGGAGTTGTGAAAAGGGTTGGCGGAGGTGCTTGCGCTGCCGAAACACGAAGGGGAGATATTCTGTCTGTGCGACTGCCAAATGAGCTGTTGCAATCACATGGCTAAAAGGAAGAAGCACGTAGCCACTTGACCAAAGCATGAGTCATTCTTGGTTAACTTACCGGGTCGGGCAGGCAGATGGCGCCGGCGGGTCCGCTACCCGCCGCGGTCAACGGGGCCGACTAACTTGCCGAGGGTTATAGTCCCTGACGTCTTGCTTACTTAGCAACCGAGCTTGGCCGGTTGTGTTGATTGAGGTAGGCTATTTGCTCCTTGTGGGCCATACTAGGCTATGCTAAAGTTGCTTGCTAGCCGGATGAATAGCTTAATTGCATTTTGCGAATGTCGATGTGTTGTTGTTATCATCGTCGTTGTTGCTAGTGCCGCCGTCGCTGTTGTGCGTTCGCTGTACAGTTTTTACTAAAGCCATATGCGCCCACTAGAATGCGTACACGAATAAGCCAGAAGGGATAGTTTCGTTATGTTATATATGCAATTCAGGTGGATTTGACAGCATCCAAACGCAGCAATAATTATATTCTTAAGTGTTGAAAATCTAGGATGGCTGGGTTTGTGCTTACAAGCAAAGCATATTCGTATATGAAATCGTATTTGTCGTTAGGTTTTGTTCATATAGATTTATCATGATATCAAAGCTGACTTTCGAAGGAAGGTCTTCTGAAAAGCAATACTCACCATCTAACTTCAATTACACGTTTTGATTGTCATGCTTGAATGGTAGATAGTTTTATAGAACAAGTAACGTGTATATGAATCTATTAACAAAGCTTATTTATGTATGCACAATGAATGTATAGAAGCATTATCTTAATGACTGCAGTCAAAATATTTTTGGATGTCGAATAGATTATGTGATATCAACGCACGAGCAAGATTTTGTCCACTCTGCTATTCTACAAATTAGCATCGCATCAGGAAGAGTGAGAGAAAGGAAAATAAACAGTTCAATGTCACGACCATGGATAGTATCCTCCTTATGCCCCGATGACAAAGGTATTGTTGTATGCTTTGGGATATAGACCAGCATTTACGAGCATTAACCGGTCGAGTAAAACGATGAACACTACAATCACTTTTACAATTCTTGGACGGGTAGGTCTGCTTAAGTCTCTAATGTAAACATCTGGATGCTGCTCCTGCGTCTTGTGCGAGAATCGTCGTAGACCTGTATTGCGCACTTTAGATCAAGACTTTGGCCCAGCTGAGCTTCTGCTTGATTTCTTCGAGATTTGTCAGAACGATTTCCGACCAAAATCGATTATTTTTCGTTAAATGTCGACAGAGATGACAAATTAATCCACTGACAGTGTGTAGGGTTTTTTAACTATTTTGACTAAATCGTTCGGTACATTCATTTGAAAGTCAGAAACAGAAAACGTTTCTGCGATTTCAAATGCACGAGGATGATTCGTTATCGAGAATTTTCTATCTTATTATCTACTTATTGCTGGTGAAGCATGTGCGTTTGTATTGTTGCACATTAGTTAGAAAGTTAGGTTTGGTACAGGCAGCAAGTGCGAGTAATTTAGAGGTTCAGAGGGGATCTATGTGTTCGGCCGGTAAGCGTCATTCCAAGATCGTTCGATCGTTTACGCATATAGTTTCAGTTCGAAGATCCAAGGGTTTATTTAGAATATACATCTAGCCAACGCTTGTGCAAACCATAATTTGTATTGTAAAGTTTTTGGACGAAGCTTCCAGTGCGCAAACATCATAACTTGTAACTTTACATACGGCTTTAGATAGCTTTGAGCCTCTCCTGGGGCTTTACGTTCTAACAACTTTCTTGCAAATTCGTCAAAAATATGGATCGCGATTTGTCGTTGGTTACATACCTGTTTCAAGGAAGAACTTCAACAAAAAAGGGAGATTGCTCTTTTCTTGAGCCCACTAACCAATTAATTGGTAGTCCATTCTCTGCAGGAATATTTGCACAGCTAAGTGGTTTAGTCACCCTCCTGAAAGTCTTCTGAAAAGTCTTCCTGAAAGTACCTTTCCATCGTTGAATGCTGTATAGTTACGTGCTACTTAATATTTCAGTTCTGTAGCAGTTCGCTTTTTTGTATATAACAGATAACGCTGGAGAACTTGTTTCTCTTTAAAGCCCTCCAGATGTGGAATTCCATGCGACGTCTTAATATATGAACGCACGGCACTGTAAGTACTGCCTCAAAAGCAAATTGAGCGTTGTTACACATAATGGTTGGGGGAGACAATGATGTGTGCCGATTGTCGATTCCACTGTTGTGCTTATAAAGTTACAAGCACATTATTTAGTTTAATCGGAAATACTATCGGGAGCCTTCATAGTCGGAACGTGTTTTCCCGAAAGAGGAATCGCTAAATATTTTAAGTTACGTATTTACAATGTATTATAGAATTTTATTTCTCTCACCGCAAACGGCGCGAAACCAATAGCCACTAATTCGCACTTAATTATCTTGAGCGCTAACAAGAATTTCCTTTCATAGTAATTTATGATCCGTACATGCTTAAAGACTCCGAAGAAGTTTTAGGGCAGGAGCCATTGCTCCTAATAACATTGGGAACGGGCGATTTTCGAGAGTGATGTGTATTCCACACATTTGAACCGCACTCGTTATTTTTCGTATTAGTATCGTCGTGGCGTATCTTTTCATCTAGAAATAGGTGGACGTTTTTTTAATTACTTAGAAGCTCATTGTGTCAGAGAAATTATGGGAATTTATGTATTATATTAACGTTGATCGAGCACTGCCCGTGATACCGGCGGCCGCTATTGTCACGTTGTCATACGAAATTTGCTGCTAACTAAATATCCTTTGGCGAAGCAAGCAGAGGACAGGCAGCAGTCGACGGATTGTTGAATTCGTTGAAACGGCCTTACCGATCTTGCCATTTGACGGTGTCAGTTCTACTTACCCTAACTAGATCGTGGCACGCTCTCATATGAACGAGTTCGTACTTCGGGTATGTTCACGTATTAAGAAAAGCTATCGGAAGCTGACATAGTTGTGGCAATTGTTTTTTTCTGTTTTGAACAATGCACTTTCTACTATCAGGTTTCATCAGCTCGATACAAAATGCTAACACCGTATTCGATTACAGAATTAGTAAACAGCGAAGGATAGAAGAACATTAAAAGGTCAGGTTGAATTGAATCGAGTTTGGCTCAGCCGCGTATCAAATAATTTCGTGCTATCCGTCACGTACTTGGACAAAGAAATGTATGACTACTTAGGGTTTGTAATTCTGTAGCTGAGCTTGTCGTTGCGCTGTTCGATATAGACTAAAATTTGACATGTCATATGTGACGTTCAACGGCAGCTGGCCTTCACAGCGGGAAAATTCAAGTCCTGCCATACATAGGCGGATTTTTTTGGTCGTTTTTAAAACCTAAGTAAACCCAAAAAATGTACTTCTATAGCAGAGTGCCTACGCTAACTTTATTCCTCTAAGAAAAATAGTATTTCAGAATGCGGAGAGAATATATGGAACTGTGAAATGAAAAATAAAATGTGCTAGAAAATGTAATGCTTAAAAATTTACATTTAAACAAAAGGGTAGGTCTAGCTCTTTTGCTAGGATTCAAGTGGCCAAAGCCTTAGTACACAATCGTAACGGAACGGTTATACCACCTTATAGCTAGCGATGTCCGAATCAATATCATCAGCGGCATGCAAGAAATGCCTATCGCGTTCGTTGACTGCAAGTGTTTGTGGAACCTTTACTCTGACTTACGATATTGTACGGTAGCATATTTCTATATGCTACGTATACATGTACCAGGTAAAGTAATATTAACGGGGCGAAGCTTGTAAATCTCGTATTATCATGTCAATGGTGTTTCTTATCACCTGCAGACTGGCACAGATAAGTTAATACAGAAAAAAAAGTCTAAATGGCGCAGCGCATATGCGCATTGCCTGTATTCGGGCTGGTAGTATAGTTCGTTTATTCCGTCCGACTTTTCTTTGTTGATGAACACAGTACTCTGGGCGGCTCGGCGACTTTATTTGCCTCGTTAAATAAGCACCACAAAAAAGCTAGTTATGAGGACATGGTATTGCTGAATTTTAATCAATGCCTTATTTGACATCGTTTTGATAAATGATTATGGCCTGAATTTTTACCATTAAATTTA